AACCCTCAGCCAACACTATACTAACTGCAGAAAACTACAGGCCGGAGCGGAAGGAGCAACAGTGACCAGTCTTTATTACATGAAGCGTTTGTACAGAGGCAAAGTGCAGGAGTCATTTAATGCTAAATTATTGCACAGATCTGAAATAAATACCCAAAGCCCACCATGTTTCAAGTAAGAATACACATGCCTCTTGTATTTAAACAAAATTAGTTTTGCCCAGATTTTGTTTAAAACTTTTTTAAAGCGAAACTGATTTTTAGCTGAAATTCTGACTGCACACAATTATCTACAGAAAGCCAGCACTAAGGGACATGAGAAGAATAGGAATTTCCTATGCTCTTCATTGCCTTATAGTGGCAGGAATGCTATGCGAACAGCAGGCGACCAGCTGTACGCTGGGTGGAACATTAATAGATCAGCCCCTAAGAGAAGGTTGCGTTTTTAAAAACATTTGGCGACATTCAAAATCATAGGACGTATTTTCCAAAATACCCTTTGCTCTCCTTTGTTAGAAATCTTAATGTGGTCACTGCAACATGTTCTAGAGTGACTGAAAAGGCTGTAGAGTGACAACATGAGTCATATAAATGAATGCTTTATACCTGTCAGATTTGTAACCGATACCTTTAATTAGCCTTGGATAAACTTACCTTATTGAGTGACTTGAAGACCTCTTTTCCGTTTAGTTGCAAAATGTTCCCAATAAAGGGCAATGGGGTGGGTCCCGGTGGTAGCCTATCTTTGTTCTGATGCTTCCTGGCACGTGTGATACTTAAGATCAGGAAAATCAAACAGACAATTATTAACAGGGTAGTTGTACTAAAGATCTCCATGTCGGCACTACGCTCTCCTGCAATAATATAACATTTCAGTCTGCTACGGGCCTATTTATAAAGGGAACAGCTCGAGAGGGTTGAATTTGGCACACTTGATACCATATTACCCAAGAACCAGCTATTTATTTGCATTATTGACACGTGAACTGAGTTCTTTGTCCACTTTAATCTCCCGTCCAATCTCTGGAGCGCAAAGATGACTGGCAAAATGGTGACTCATTTATCTGGAACTAATAGGATTATTGAAATAAACTTGTTTGGCTTTTTCTATTACGTGAATAGGACAATCCCAATGAATAATATGATAATAAATATGATATTGCAGTTGGATGACTGCCAAGGCCTCCACTTGCTTTGTGGATCGGTTTATGTTTTAGAACCTTTTGAGAGACTTCAGTCAAGCGTGACAATCTTGAATGTGACACGACTTAAAGCCCAACTCCAGCCAAAACTATTCTTTTGTTGTTTGTATTACTCATTGGGAAGGTCTTCCTGTTTCAGTGACCTGGGTGGGGGTTCCGGATCAGTAAAACAAGGGGAAATCCCTAATCAGAATAAAGACAGTAAAACATCATAAATATAAGGAAAGGTTAGAACCTGTGTAAGGTTTATTCTATTTCTGGACTGAAAGCTCTTGATACGTACGTTTGTGCTTTGCAACCTCCCTCTCATGCTCCAGCATGTCATGGGGAAGTTGAAGTGGACTAAGTGGTGCTTGAACCAATGAAAATACTGGTCAGCATGCCCATAAAGCCATTCAATGGGATACCGGCTACCATATTGATTTGGTGAACTGAATAGTCTTTTACACACAATGAACACCAGGATGAAGATAACAGCCCCACAGTATTTAAACTTCAGGCAAACAGCTGAATACACAGATAACATACATACAAGGGTGCTGTTTTACCTGCAAAATAATTTGTATCTCTGTCAATCCAATTCTGAGGTTTCACTGTCCTGCTAGAGAGCACAACCCTGTAAATGGACAATGAGAGAAGCAGCAGACTAATGAGTTAATTTCTCTGTCACTCTCCTCTCACCTCCTGTTGCATGTTCCTTGTTAACATATAATCAATGCAGCAAAGCTGACTGTTCCTTGTGCTTCTTTGTCCTGTTTATTTCCTTCCAGGGCTTTAAGTCTGGACTTCAGATTTAAAATACAACTTCATCCACATGATTTTTTTTTCAGTTTTGGGTAGAATAGAGAAGAACCTATGTCCCATTTTTATTTCTGTCTGTAATTCCGACGAGGAGAATTACACTCACTTTGTGTCTCAGTGTCACCCCTTTGACTCCCGGAAGAAGCTTCAGCCACCATAACTCTGCCACAATGAGGATTAGTGGCAGGTACAAAAGGAGACTTTTTCTTTTAGTCCACACAATTTTATTTATTTTTTTAGCAAATAGTCTTTATTTGAATTTTATCAATAAGAAAAACAATAAGACATTTCAGTCTGCCCCCCATAGGGTGCAGACTGCACTTTGTAAAATACACCATAAAACAAGAAATAACAAATCATACTATGATATCATTAAAGGTATCAATATACAACGTTACCACAGTAAAACAAAGCATTTAAAAGAGATGCAAACCTAAGGTATAACATTGTTTTGTTTCCAAACAAACTAGAGAACAAGTAAGCATCACAATCACCTGGTAGCAACGTAGGTTCGCCTGAACCTGTTGGATTCTTGATGAGTCTATATAAGTTCAGAGGGAATGAGATCGGGCATGGAAAATAGAAGTATATGAAATGAAGTGGAATGAAATATAGGGGACTATAAGGACATCTAGGACCCCTAGAGATCCGTCCAATTTTGCGGTGTGATACCAGACCGTGTCTTTCAACAATATCATGAGTTCTATCAGCTGAGTGGGTGATAGGGATGATGCAAGGAATGAGGTCCATGTATCAAAGAATTTCGCTGTGGACGGGCTGTTATACTGGGCGTCAAGCTTGTCTAGTGACATTAGTTTGGACAGTATGTCTGCTAGCTGTTTTAAAGAGGGGGTAGTCGGCGAGAGCCAATTCGTCAAAATGGCTTTTTTTGCTGCGAGGTTGCACAGATGCTCCCATCGTGACAATTTCTTGGTTATCGTTGATTGTGGAGGCCCGGGGGCATGAAAAAGGCACAAAGCCGGGTCTCGGGATCTGCTAGAGCCTGAATGGGTATTCATGTATGTTACCAGATGACCCCAGAATTGCTTTATAAGAGGGCATCTCCAAAGCAGATGTTTTAGGTCTGGATATGGGCACTGGCACTTGGGACAGGAGGTCAACCAATCTGGGGGAGTGGACTTGTATTTTAGGTTAAAGGCATAATAAGCTCTGTGTATGACTTTAAACTGGAGCTCTCTCCACGACTCACTAATGATGGCTTTCCGTACTGCATGCCAGCCAGAAAGCAGCATGTCATCCGCATCCTCTGGTGATATTTGGAGGAATGTGGCCCATTTAATCACTTGTTTGTGGTAGGTAGTAGGAGTTTTTGCATAGACAGCGGTGCGAATTGTGTTAACAATGGAGGACAAGGGCATTTTGCCCTCTGGTGAAGATAGCAAGGTCTTGAGAGGGCATAGAGAGGGTCGTGACCAGGGCAACGGCAGGTGTTTAGTAATAAAGTGATGGATTTGTGCGTATTGAAGGAAGTGATTGCTGGAGATGTGGTGTGAAGTCTGCAGCTCCCGAAATGATTTACAGTGCCCACTGGTAGATAGCAAGTCCTCGATCCTAATGATGCCTTTGGATCTCCAATTAGAAAAGACTTTGGATTCGCTACCCCGGGGGAAACGCTGGTGAGGAGGTAATGGGTAATAGGGGAGAAACCACCCCCTGGATCTTCAAAAGTTTCCTAACTTCCTCCAGGTAAGTATAGTATCCCGTAATAGTATGTTGCCCTTAATAGGCAGGGGAAGAGATTTCCAAGGGGTATGTATGATACCCGATAAAGACCATGGGGCCACCGAGAGTGATTCAAGTGGTGTGTTTGTGAAATAAGAAGTGTCATTTAACCAGTCTCTCACATGTCTGAACAGACTATCCAAATTGTACATTCTAATGTTTGGGTTGTTAGCTCCCAAGGATTGCGCAGGGGATTGGAGTTTATGAAGCGCAATCCTGGGGCGCTTTCCCCTCCATATGAATTTAGAGAAGGCTGTGTGTAGGGTGCTAATGTCCTTATGTCTGATAAGGAGAGGTATGGTCTGCATGGGGTACAGGAGGCGTGCAAAGCTTATCATGCGAATAAGGTGGCATCTGCCCAGCATAGAGAATGGTAGGTCACGCCACCTGTGGAGTTCCTAAGTAATTTTTTTAAACAACGGACCGTAGTTGAGATGATATAAGTCAGTGGCGTACCCTGAGATGTGGACCCCTAAATAGGTAATGGAACGCTTCTGGATTAAAATAGTACAATCTGTGGGCCACGTGGAGGTAAAGAGGGGAGCACTATGGGGTAGCATCAAAAGCTCACTTTTATCAAAGTTAGTGGCGTACCCTGAGATGTGGACCCCTAAATAGGTAATGGAACGCTTCTGGATTAAAATAGTACAATCTGTGGGCCACGTGGAGGTAACGAGGGGAGCACTATGGGGTAGCATCAAAAGCTCACTTTTATGAAAGTCGATCTTCAATCCGGAGAAGGAGCCAAACTGAGATATATGTTCCATAATTTTGGGGAATTGGGCAAAGGGATCGGAGAGCAGGAGAATAATATCGTCTGCAAACAGGGCAATTTTCAGGTCTTCCGTGCCTACACGAAGGCCCGAGAATATTGAGGAGGAGAGAGGTTCCAGGGCCAAATTGAAAAGGAGGGGGGATAGTGGGCATCCCTGTCTCGTCTCCTTGTGAAGGGGGAAGGGCTGGGATATGGCAGTGGGAGTGAGTATGCTAGCCACAGGAGAAGAATACATTGTGGTTATAAAGTTCAAAAATGTACCGTTAATACCCATACGTTTCATAACCTTGTATAGCCAGTTCCAGTTAACATTATCAAATGCCTTCTCCGCATCCAGGGCCAAAAGTGCCATGGAGTGCGAAGAAGAGCCGTGCATTCTGTGCCTCTCAAGAGCTACAAGAATCTTGCGTACATTAGTGACGATACGAAGCCCACTTGATCAGGAGAGATGAGCTTACGACAGCCAGTCTATTCACCATTATTTTTGATTGTAACTTGGCATCCAAATTCAGCAGGGATATTGGGCGATAGGAGCCCGGGTGGAGTGGGTCCTTACCCTTCTTGGGGAGCAGTCTTACGTAGGCATCATTAAAAGTGGGGGAGTAAGAATGGTTGGTTAGAATATCTTGATATAGGGACTCTAATATTGGGGAAATCTCGGGGGCTAGTACGCAATAAAATTCAGCTGAAAAGCCTTCAGGCCCTGGGGCCTTTGAGCGTGGGGAATGTTTTATGGCGTCCTCGATTTCCAGTAACGATATTTTACCGTTAAGGGAGGCCAGCTCTTCCTCGTTTAGAGAAGATAAGGATACGGTTTCTAAAAAAGAGGAACCGGCACAATCATCCCCCCCTTCATGTTTATATAGATTTTGATAAAAATCACTAAAAAGTTTGCATATGGCTGATGGTTTCGACTGTATCTTGCCCTCCTCATCTAACAATTGAGTAATGTGTGTG